CGGGACTCTGTGTCGGTGTAACTCGGTGTAACCTGCACTGTAGTTTATAACAACGGTAGAACGGGGAGAACTTGACGGGGTAGAGCTAATGATTTGTTTCGCCATTTGTTTCGGAATTCGAGACCGTTATGCATTTCCAATAAGAGAGCACGAAACGTCCAGTGATGGTGATGCGCGCAGCCAATAAGCCCGGTCTGCGCACCGCGATTAACATTTAGATGAGCAAACATTATTGCCGTTGGTACTGTTATTCGATGAACCATCTCCTCGCGCATTGTCGAATTTTATTAAGATGAATAGTAGTATCGTTGTAACATTAATTATATTGTCATCGGTGACGGGCGACTGTCGGGGCGATCATTGTTAGAAGCTGATCTACTGAAAGTAGCGGCTTGAATGAGTCTTTTGTAATGCTAGTAATTATTTCGCAAAATCGGATCAATAATGTGTGTGTACAAAGTCTCGAAAGCTCACACCTCGTGATGAAATCATGATCGATGTTCATAATGCATTACGCCACATTACACCAGATTTTGCTTTCTTCGTCAATTTTGTACCTATCCTAATTTTAATGACGACGATAGAAAAACGACTGAGAGGGAGCGGCAAATGAGCGGCAAAACGGTGGCGTTTCTTATACGTTTCTTACGTGACTTCTCGGAAAGAAAAAAAAAAGAAGGAAAAAAAACTGAAAGAGTCTAATTTTACGGTGAGAACACACACACACACTAGTGCTCCATCCTTCGCTCGATCGAGGGAGGAGCGTTTTGGAGAGGATGAATGCGTATGGACTTTCTCGTGAGACAAAAAAGAAAAGATTGTACAGAGCACGCGTTTACATCTGTCACGAATGAACCGCGCATTCGACGATTGTAGTTTTAAGCAACGAGCTGCGAGATAAGCTGTCAGGTCAAAGTATATGTTCTCTTTGGATGGTTTCATGCGACGGAAACATGCGAAACCGCGTTCGTGTTTACGAACGATTTACCACACACACACACATGTTGGTTGTATTTATAAAATCGAGAGACAGCCGTGTATCAGAGATACGACCGACAGAGGATGACACGCGTTTCGCGGGATCCGGAGGGAGGGGGGAAAGAAAGGCGAATCGACGTGTCGGTGAAATCATCCAAACGTGTCATAATCTTTCTGAGCTGAGCCAGTGCACTATCTTATCGCTCTTCCAATCGTGGAGGAAGAAAGGAAATGTTCCATTACCTTGTATCTCTATATCATGGTTCCACCATGGTTTCATAGTGGATCGTGCCTTTCTATACGTTTCTCACTCGTTTCGTTTTCGATTTCTTGTGATTCTTGTCGCAAAATTCGATTACTTTCTTAGGCAAATTAGAAACGCGGAGTGACCTTACGTATCGTACGTAACTGGCTATTGTCACGGAATTAATTCCTAATTTCCGACACGCGTGGTCGCACGTGTAGATATTTTATAAACCTTCGAAAGATATAATATATCGCGACTTATCTTTGTAACTCTGTACAACTTACTTGTTGTCGAATTCTGCACGAATGTTTTACTTAACGCTACTATACTTCACGTTTTAACTGTGTATATGTTCTTACTGATCGCCTCATATTCACTGTGACGTGAGATCACTCTGTCGTTTTAGAAAAAAATTTATGAAGCAAGAGAAAGAAACTACTTGTGCCTCGAGCGCGTTATCTATTCTAGAAATTAAGTAATTAATCGAAATAATGTCATTTCTATAAGGATATGTGTGTGGTGAACGATCGTCAATGCTATTTGGAATTTGACTTTTTCTAGTCTTCGATAGCGGTTCGCTGGGCTCCAGATTTTTATAAAGCGTAAAGTATCGCCGTAATAAAAATACATCAACGCGCGTTTAATGGTTTACATATATAATAAGAGAGACATGGAGAAAAAGAAGTGAGAGCGAGAGAGAGTTGGGGTTCATCGATGTTATCCCAAAAAAGAAAACAATATATCCAGTAAATTATAAGACACGACTGCGGATCAATAAAGTGTCACGATTGGAGGAGACTAGCGAACACAAGGTCGTTCCATAAAGATAATCACCTCTGATCCAAACCACTATGAAGATACGAGACGGATCGCATAATTGTTTTGGCGGGTGAACGTGACAGGGGCGCGCGAAGGGAAAGAAACCAAAAAAGAAGGGAATTCAATATCAAGCTCGTCGATAATTACGTCCCATCCTCCCGGTCTCTCCTTCCCGTGCCCTGTTTTCTCTCGTAGTATCTTTAATTCATTCGTTATTGCGTGTCTCTTAGAAATATGTCTAGCGGAAGACTCAAAGATGAAGAATTATCATCATCGTGCCATCATTTTTATCGTCATTGTCAGTCGTTATCGTCAGTCGTTATCGTCATTATCAGCATCATTGCATCGGTGCAAGAGAGAAGCGAAAGTGCGAAAGAAGGTATTTCTTCGACATGGTGTGACATTTAATAAGTGCTGCTATATAATTTAGGAGCGAACGAGTAACGCGAATTTCACACGGTGAACACGATATGAGTGACTGGCAAACTCGTGAAATTCGTTAGGAAATCAAATTCGTATTGTTCGTGCCACGATTTCCATGGGTCTTTGGTTGTACTCGCAACCGTGAATCGTGATACCGCGCATCACATAAGGAATCACATTGATGGACGTGAGAAAAGGGGAGAGAACAGGAGAGAGAGAGAGAGAGAGAGAGAGAGAGAGAGAGTCCAGGCGAGACAAATAGAAAGTGAGAGTACGGGTCAGCGGTACCTCGCGTACAGTGCAATTAACAGAAATAGAAAAAGAAAAAAAAAACTATTATGCTGCCGTATAAAAATAGTTTGCAACACATAAAACGATCAAACACGGGTTGAAGGCATGAGTCAGCCACTTGACGTAAATGTGTATATCAATGTATATCTGTTAGTGCCATTCAAATTGCGAATCGTGGAACGGACAAATAGCATACAATATAAGCACAGATACATATAAATATATAAATATTATATAAACACACAAACAAACACACACACACACACACACACAATACAATTCACTTTGACTCTATCACGAATCGAATGGTATGCGTTGAATGTATGCTAACGGTGCATATGGGATTATTATGTGTGCGTGATTGTTACACATGTTGCTAGATTACAAAGAAAATATTTCATTCTCATTCTGTGATGACTGTCTGAATACGAGAAACGAGAGGAGAACAAGAAATGTTTACATGAGTCTAAGCTAACGAATTAATCAATTGATTCAGCTAATAAAGATTTAATTAACAGTCTAATTGTACTAATTTGTCTCTCTCACGTGCGCGCGCGCACGTGAGAGAGAGAGAGAGAGAGAGAGAGAGAGAGAGAGAGAGAGAGAGAGAGAGAGAGAGAGAGACGAGGAAAGATATAGATGAATCTTTATAGGACATAAGGAAGGACGCGTGCGTGTGCTTGTGAGTGCGTGTATAAAGGAAACAGACACGATAATTTTGTTTGTTGCGCGTGAGAAGCATAAAACTTTTAACATGTTAAAACAAGAGGAACAAAAATCTGAGAACACACTGTATTCGAGTTGCGGCGGAAAAAGAAGAGTATGATTTGTATACTGTATAACTTTAGTCGTTTACCATTGCTTTCGAGAATATATAAGAGTTATGTGTATAAATTATTATGTGTAGTTGAACAGAAGTCATTTAGTAAATTCTAAGCGTGTGTAAACACACACACACACACACACACACACACACACACACACACACACACACAGAATATAAAGGCATTACAAGACAAAGTCACTGTATCGTATGTTTGTGCAACTAAAATTAGTGATGATACAATTATGAGAATTGCAATGATACAATAAACACTTAACATACGAATTATATTGGGTTGAGTAAAAAGTAATTTCGTATTTTGCGAGTAGATTGCGTGAAGAGCAGAAGTGTTTAGCGCAATCTTCACTCAATATCTGATATACCATACATTTTTCTGAAAAATTAGGTTTCCCTGCGTATTTTAAGCGTATTTTAAGCTTGTCAAAATCTATTCAAGTAATTTTTATTTGACGACATTGTAAACATGAAGCAAAACAAGCATATCTTCGGTGTTTGATGCTTCTCTATTTTCGCAAAGGGAAAAGTACGACGCAAACCAAAAGAAAGATATGTGCTGCGTATGAAGAAGATGCCGTAAGCAAATGTGTGTGCCAAAACTGAATTGCGAAATTTCGTACTGGTGATACGACATGTCAAGATAGTGAGCGCGACGAAAAGTGGATTGTGCATAACAATGTAGAGCGCAAAAAAATCGTGGAGGGGGAAAACGAGGTGACCGCCGCAGACCACACCGAGGCAGAATATTCATACGAAAAATATCATGCTGCATATTCGGTTAGATTGGAAAGGAATCGTGTACTACGAGCTGCTTCCGCAAAGCCAAACAACTGATTCCAACAGATATTGTTCCCAATTGGACTGTTCGAAGGCAACAATCGATGAGAAGTGTCCAGAAGCATTGAGCAATCGTTATGATGTCATGTTCCACCAAGACAACGTATTAGACCTTACGTATCTTTGGCAATCCGGCAAAAATTATTGCAGCTCGGCTGGGATGTTTTGCTTCATTCACCCGATGACCTGGCAGCATCAGACTTCCACTTATTCAGAATTTAGTCTCTGCAGAATGGAAAGAAACTTCACTTCTTTGGGGGCCTGCAAGAAGCATCTTGAGCAGTTTTTCGCTCAGAAAACTGGCAAGTTCTGGGAAGATGGAATTTTTTAATTCGCCTGAAAGATTCGGCGAAAGGTGGTCATTGAAGACCAGAAGACAAATTTGCATTGAGCATTGAGTCGTTCATTCAAAGGTACTTTTTAATACGAAAATGTTGTCTGATTTTCCCCGTAAAATACGAAATTACTTTTTACTCAACCCAATATAATAATAGACGATGCCTCTATGGCGGTCGGCCTGTCGAAAGTCTTATTTTTCTATAGACCGTGCATTTGGACCAGGCATCGTTTTAACATGTAGCATATATTTAAGAGAAATATACACAGAACTTACTTTCCTTATTGTTACATTTATATTCTTGTGCAATGCGCAATGCCGTGATTTCATATAAATGCAAAAAACAAGACGCGCTTCTCGGAAACGTTCATAAATATAAGAGAGAAGGAACAATAGTAATAATATAAGGAAATAATACGTATGGAAAAACAAGGAAAAATTTTCGTCATTCGTAATATTCATCGCGCATCGTGATCCTGATCGTGAGGGCTCCGAGTTAGACTGGGGGGGGGGGGGAACAGCATTGCCCGATCTTAACGCTCAACCACGTGCTTCTTCAAGAATGCGAGTTGTGCTCTGGATTCCAGCGCGGCCAATTCAGCCACGATCGGGGCCATTTGTTGGACATGATTCTCGTAATTGGAACCTATGAAGAAGACACAGAGACTTGGAAAAGATACGGTTGATTTTAAAACGATCGTTAACGTGAATGAAAGATGATATCACGCGTGCGTACCCATCGCCATTCTCTTTTCGCCATATGTAACCTTGCCGTCGAACTCGTTCAGCGGCACCTTTATGTCCATTCCCACTTGCTGAATCGTCACATTCAGATGATCCTCGATCTCCGCCAGATACTACCGAGACAACCAGTTATCATCACTACTCGTAATACTCGTACATCGTCGCATGAATGCTACAAGTTTCGTGCGGAACACAGGACTTGCATTTGAGAATTTGTATCGAGAGCCACTTGTGGCACGGAAAAACTTACGTTTGGCTCATTATACCATGTGCAACAGCCACCTTGATTGGTGAGATTAGTGTTCTGGCAATTTCTGCCGCGAGACGAGCACCATTCACCATGATACCAAACCTTTTCCGGCACGCTGCTGACCAACGAGATCGCCAGACCCATTCTCTCGGCTCTGCCGACTCTTCCGATGCGATGCACGTAATTGGACTTTTCGTCGGGTAAAGTTACGTTTATCACTGGAAAGACCAACAAACGCGGCGAATGTAGTAGGGCGTACAAAGGCTCCTTTTTCCGAGTCCTTTCCGCTTAGCGATCACTCACTGAACGGTAGTCCGGTGATATCCAATCCTCTGGCGGCCACGTCGGTGCAGATGAGGAACTTCACCTCCTGGCGCTTGAACTTCTCCAGATTGGCCTTGCGCTCCGCGGGCTTCCTGTCGCCGTGCAGGCACACACACGAAAGCTGTTGGCTGCCGGACTGCCTGAGGAATCGCTCCAGGTTGTCGCAGTCGAGTTTCGTTCTACAGAATATCAACGCTCGGTCCATCTTGTGCTCCTTGATAGCGCGAATGCAGTACTCGCCTTTCAGTATCTTCACGGCCTCCGACAATGTTTCTGTGAGACACAGGTAAGACCTCTTATTTAGATTCTTCTCTTGCACGTACTCTTTTATCTTGTCTTATCCTGAAAGCGTCATTCTATCTTTATCGCGCGTATTAGAACGCCGAAGGGAGATTGATGCTGCTTTCAGCACGCACAGAGAATATGCAAGACGAGCTTAGTCTAGATCGTATCGCGGCGCGACGATTTGTTATACAGTTATCACATCCGCCGACAGCGCTAACCGGCAGTGCTGTTCCCCGGTCTCACGTTGTCTCTCACGTGCACGCCGTCGGTCTCTATGTGGCTCCTCAGATTGTGCCATGACTTGTCTTTCTGCGGGTCCACCGTCACCACGACGTGATGTACGGTCTCGGGCACCGCGTCCTCGCCTTTCAAATCCACCCAAGTCGGGAAATGCATCAGACGTTCCTGCAACGACCCCCCCCCCCCGAGAGAGAAATGTGCAAAATTTCTCGTTCGAAACCGTAGCGGGTATAAGGTATCCGATAATCGTGGAATATCTTACAGCCATTTTTTTAACTTCGAACGCGTGTAACGTCGCCGAGCACACAATCATCTGCAACCTCTTGCCGTCCGACGTGATCTTTGGGATTTGTTTGTGTAGACGATCGATGAGTTCGGTACAGCCCTGCTTCAGTAGTCCGTCAGCTTCGTCTAGCACGAAGAATCTGGGAGAAAAGAAAAAGATATATATATATATAGACACACACACACACACACACACGCACGCACACACACGCACACACGCGCGCGCACACACACACACACACGCACGCGCACACACACACACACACACACACACACACACACACACACACACACACACACACACACACAACGTACTCAAAAAAGTTTGGCTTCCTCTTATTTTCGCCGAGTCGAATGATAAATTACCTGCAATGCGTCAACGAAAGGTAGCCTCCTTGTATAAGATCCTCTAGGCGCCCGGGGGTACCGACCACCATGTCCACGCCAGAGTTCAAGATAGCAATCTGATCTTTCACATTCACGCCACCGATAACAAGCAATTCTCTGACCATTGGGTCCTTCAAGTGCGTTTTGAACTGTGGAAGAAGGTAAAATAATCCCGCGTTAATAATACACGCGATGCATTCTTACGACATATTCCTCCTGGTGTTCTCGCGCACCTTCTGTATTTGACTGTAAGTCTGTTCAGCCAACTCGCGAGATGGTTCTATGATGATCGCCTGAGGCGCATTGCTCGTCGGTTTACCGCTTTGGCTCGTTTGGGTCTGGTTGCTGTTGACGGGATTGTACTTGATGGATTCTTTCGGCACCGACGACACGGCCACGTAGTCGTTCGAAGGTGAATGTTTGAACGGTTGTGCTCCAAAATTGAAAGACATCTCAGCGTTCTTCAGCACAACGGCCGGATAATAGGTTTGCGACTTTTGCTGCGCATTCAACGTGAACGCGACGCCCAAATCCACGCCGTTCTTGGTAAATTTAATTTCGCCCTTTACTAAATCCAGGAAACACCCGATCACATCGTGCATCCCAAAGGCCTCCCCATAATTGTCGAATTGCTTCGCATTCGATTTCTTCCCGGTACCACCGAATCCATAACCAAACTTATCCGTTCCCAGATCCAAGGAAGCCTGTTCCAAGCACAAAAGAAATATTCAGTGAGTCTTTCCTGCTTGTTAGGAAACAGAGGACGATTGTACATCGATCAATATCGACAGTATCACCTATATGTATTCACCTGAGATGTAGACCAGCCTACTCGACACAAACCCTCATCAGTCACTATGCACTCGAAGAAGTACTTGCCACTGCGCGATACTCCTTTGTTTGCACGACAGCCATGCCATTCTTTTTGTTCTCTGCTCTGACATCTCAAGCCATCCGGTGTCACCGCTAAGGCTCGTCCCCTGTCGAACAAGCTCAGTGCCCAATGTGCAGCTGTAGGAATATCAAGTATATATTTGTATTTTTCTTCCTTCATGGATTTTGCAACGTAATAATAATGATCAAAATTTAACGTACATTGCTGAACTAGCGCGAAGGATGCTCCACTTCCTCCACCAGATTCAAAATCTTTAAGAGTCTCCCAGACTATCTGTAAAATGGGCAAACAGAAAGCTCCGGTCTTTCCACTGCCAGTTTCCGCAGCCATGAGTACATCTCCACCACCCAAAATCAGGGGAACAGCCTCGGCTTGAACGTCTGTTGGCAATCTATAATCAACAATCTTTTAAACATAACTCTAGCTCAGTATACATTGTCATCTTTAATTACATTACATCCTCGGGACATTGGATTACGTAGTGTTTGCATCTTTACTCACGTCCAATCTATATCATCCACCGCTTTTGCTATTTCTGGCAGCACACCCATTTCTAAAACATGAATATATTTATAAATAATTCCAACAACACGAAGTATAATCATTGCACAAGCTGACATAAGTTTTACACACGACATAAACTAAAATTACGTAGCGAGCAATCGACTTCTCAGACATACTTCGGTACTTTTTAAATACTTTACCTTCGAAAGCGGTCATTTTTAGTTTAAACAGTAGAGTCGACTCGATGCAGAGGGAGAATATTCGACGATACGACAGAGTAACTCCTTAAAGCACAAACGCACAAAACCGGTATTTCTTTCTTTCTTTCTACAGCTGCTGGCTCTCCGGGCGAAGCGAAACGGATATCCCCTTTTCCCCATTCTCCCCCTCGCCGTCATTTCTTATTCCGAACGCACACTCCGCACAGGACGAAGAATCATGCTCGACGCGCGCGCGCGCGTGCGCGGCGGAAGTTGGCTAGGGAATACCGCGGTAGCCATTCAACATCTTGCTTAGCCGGAAACAGTATTTACGAACAAACGTGAGGAGGACGTTGATTGGCTACTCCCTGAGCACACGCGATATTCCCTCTCGCCCGTGATATAGGCGCAACACCGGCCACCGGCCTAAATTGTCCAAATTATCCTTGTGCGCAAGCGCAAAGTGTGGTCAGCGCCACACGGCCACGTTACGTAGCCGCTTGAACTACGAAATATGCTACACCAGGGCGTACAAACTCCTCATATTTTAGGGGTGACGGAAGTGATTAGTTCGCTTATTCTTTCGGTACGTAGGCCGAGGGCAGCACAGTCGATTCCCCACTACCGCTCGTCGGATGCCATATTGGACACTTACTGTTTACCACTTTTCTGGAGTAGTAGGAATTTTGTGTATTTTGTGCGATAGCAAGTGATAGCAAGTGATCATTAATTTAGTGAGAGGTGTTTATTTTCAGGTTATTTGCAGGTTATTTACAGGTTATTTTCAGGTTATTTACAGGTTATTTACAAGTTATTTACAGGAAGAAGAGCCAAGTAAGGAGAGAGAGCGTGTGGAGATAAAATATTTCTATTTCTGTAAGTAAATATTTATATGTAAATATGTAAATCGGTTTAAATTATTTCACGTTGTTCGTTGATCTTTCCTAAGGTCTCAGATAGCACAAATGTTTTAAACACATTTGACTTATATTAAAAGACATATTAAAAGCAAGACGTCTCTCCTTTTATATGCTTTTAGACTTATCTTATTGTAGATCGATGTTAAGAGTGAGTGTATGAATGCTTATGTGCAGTGATGCACATATATGGTGCAGGTTGTTAGTGCATCAAATTTTTTTAACCACACCAGGTATATGGCAGAAAAGTACCTGACAGTCCGCAGTCTGCAAGTGGGACGGAAAAAATTTGATGCTTAAAATTCATTGTAATTATTTTTCATTGAACTGTAAATAATTTCATTAAATTACATATATATATAATATATATACCATTGTAACTAAAAAAATATATATGTATAATATGTTTATAAAAAATTGTATACTGCTTATACGAAAATTGTATACTGCTTATTTCAATAAAATTTGCGAACCCTATTATACACACATCACAAAAAAATATATATATATTGAGTTGAATAATAATTAATTTCTTAGTTTTCAGATACAATGGAATAACTGTATGTTTATGTCATTATAATTTCATGAAATAATGTATGTGATATATTGAACTATTGGGTTCCTCACAAAGCGCTTGCGTTCATTAACATCATTGATTCATGTTAATTCTTTGTATAAAATTAAGTTTTGAAAATCACTGAAAAAACTGCAATAACTTTTTGAACAACCCAATATCATCTACCATCTCTCGCATACATTGCTTCATGAAATTATAACAACATACAAGTATTGTTTAATTTTACAAAAAAAATACAAAATTACTTTCCAGATAGCATCGAATCTTCAGAGAATGTTCTTAGAACGTTCTTAGGATGTATGAATGTCCTTAGAACGTTCTTAAAACATCCTTTTAAGATTTGTGCTATATGGGTCATTACACGCTTAATATATATATATATATATATATTTATATGTAAGGACTGTTCTTTTTCGCTGCACTGATGCAATAAGTTAGAATGAGAAATATATATTTGTTTCACTCTAACTTATTGCATCAGTGCAGCAGTGCAGCGAAAAAGAACAGGCCTTATATTTATACATATGTGTACTGGATTTAAATGTAGTGCGTATCCCCACTCTGTATCACGTGACCCATTTTAGTTCCACCAGTTCCGGTACGTATCATGATGGCGCTCCAAAGACCCTCGGTTTCTAAGAGGGGAGTTTGTACCCCCTGATGCTACACTGACTGAGACTGAGGGGCGATTACGGACGGTATGCGCGCGAGTGTGTCGACGTGTGTGTGTGTGTGTCGACGTGTGTGTGTGTGTGTGTGTGTGAGAGAGACGATAGGATAGGCTGGGTCGATGAACAGCTATGACAGATTACGGATTGAGCGTGGAACAGTGCTGAAGTGTGTTCTGCGTGTTTGCTGCGTGTTCCGAATCGCGCGTCGTTGGTATAACTCCACCTGCAACTCCTCCCTTTGCAATAAATAAATAATAAAGAGACGCCCGGGGAAATAATGCCGGCGGTCGCTTCGTGAACTCATTTGGTGAGAAATTGATTTTAGAGTGAAAGTATCGTGTCGAGGATCTGAAAGCGAAATTTTGCGTGAACGGCGCCGGGGTTCTATGGGATACAACATCGCCAACTGCGAAATGATACGAACGAGGGAAGAACTGGCGGAGAAATTAGGTCTGGACTGCTCCGAGGATCAACAACACGCGAC